ATTATACTACCCTTTCATATTTCTAAGCCCATGTTCAAAGTATAATGATTGGGATCGTAGAAGTTTCTGGGGCCCTTTTATTTGTTTTTATTTTTATTTATTTTTATTTCTTTTCTTTTTCAAGATTTGCATCAGTTTTATGAGTAATTTTAAACATATGTTGCTTTTATATTACCATAAAAATAATGCTCTGAGCCCTAACCTTCCTTACCGACGAAAAATCATATGTATAATGTTTTTATTATTGTCTTTCTTTAGGTACATACCACTTATATTTTTTATTAGACATTTTTTTTCCTCTCTCGAGACTATTGCTTACACTAATTAACTCACCCACTCAATGTCTTCCAATATATTTTAAAATTATTTTATTCACAATGATTGGGCTTAAATATATATATTTTAAAATTAATTTTAGTTTTAGCTCCGATAAAAATTATTTAATCCTTAATTTTATAAAAATACATGTTTCTAATTTCATTATTAATTTGGATTTTGTTTTACTAAGCAATGGCAGGACGAATAAATCACTCATACATAACATATTATGTCATGTGATCACTTAACAAGAACAAAATTAAGAAAAATTAGAAATAAGTATTTTAAATATACTTATAATATGAAAATTTACTAGTTATGTGTAAAATCTAAATTGAAAATCGTCAACCACATAGGTGTACCAAAACTTGATTATTTTGGCTTAATTAGAAATCATGATTACGTAATTATATTTATTAGAGTTAAAATATGAAATGTGTCATACACCGATTAGAATTTGATATATTAAGACATATTGAGTAGTTATAAATGAAAAAGATTTACTTATCTAATATCTTAAAATTTTGAATTTAGATATGATATCAAACTTACTTATATAATTTATTCATTATCCATGAATCAAGTGTTTAACTCTGACTCAAAAATATTAAATACTCAAATGAAATCTTCATTAATAATTTTACTCATCTCAAATGAAATTGTTTCTTATATCTTATAAACTAAACCAGTGGTTCATAAATAAATAAAAATTCAAATTGAAAACTTACTAATAAATGGCACATGATAGTCCCCACCCAAATATATGCAAAGTGAAACGTGTTTGGAAAACAATCAGACACACGATGATGAGGTATCCCGGCAATATATTATTCTTTCTACCATCTTGCTTCCAGGTGAATTCTATGTATGGCTCATGGGAGGTACTCCATCTCCATGTTAAATAGAAAATTAGCGATTACTACACCAACAACAAAATCAATTGAACTTTTTTTTTAATATATTCATTTTGGTAAAAAAAAAAAAAAGTTCATTAGGAAATGAGATCCTCCTGTAATATTATCTGAAAGTTAGAACAATCCACAAAAACCGTAATTGTTATTTAATAAATACCAAAAGTTAAAGATTATGAGCAAGAATCGAAGTTCAATTTTGGTTCCATGTTCTTACAGAATTACTCAATTTTTAAACAACTCCTTATGCAATGTCTAGATTTAGACTTTTGAGCTTGTTAATAAGGATTCTATTCTTGACCTTATATGTATGAAAGAATTTTGATAGAATAAGTAAAATACACTTCAATAATCTCTATTCTTAAAAGAATCATTCTCTGATTATAGACGGAGGAATATTTTTCACGCACACAAAATAATATACAAAGAACTTTTAACAAAGTCTACTGTTTAAAATATTAATAAAGATGAACTGGTGATCATATTCATTAGTAATCATTAAAATTCCCCCCTTTTTTTTGTTTTTTGGTGAAATTGTCGAAACGTATAGAAAATATAGATAAATTATAATGATCTGTTTTATATATACAAATAAAAAGGATCAACTAGGTTGTGATATTTCATTCATATTTACAAACAAGTCCTTGTAATTTATCAAATTATAATGACAATTAGTGAGTAGTAACTCAAATAAAATATATGATTTTGATAAAAAAATCTTTTAAATTTAGCCAACATTGGATGCAAATTTTATATAATTGAAAACAACCTTACGTAATTGAAAGGATGAAGTAAAGAAGCAAGTTGGGTTTGAAAGGTTCTCTCAAGAGTTGGAAAGTGCAAGGATATATGAAGGTTATTCTCTTAACTCTTTAAGAGTGGAAAAAAGTTCTTTAGACTCCAATTAATGGAACCTCATGGGCCTGCATATACATACATGCGATACACTGTCACATGGTCCTAATGAATCTATCAAAGTAAGAAGCATGTGAACAGCAACAGAGGAGCTAGAAGGCATCATGGTTTACCCTATTAAGTTAGACAATTGGGCTTTTCCTTCTCTCTTTCACATGCCTTCAACTCTTACACCCTTTTAGATTAGACAATTTACACCATCACCCTCACCCCTTCTCTTCTTATCTTGTCTCAATTCATAATTTATGCTTCATTAATTTTCCTTCTTGGTATATGCATCAAATATACATGTATAAGACATAAGACATTTGGGTCTCATCAACTGATTCAGAGTTGCTCATGTCAATTAGGGATATCGCAATTAAGTTCTGAGTATATAGTTATGTTACTATAATAATTCTATTCAATTCGAATATGCTTATTAATTTCAATGAAAAGATGTAAATGATCTCTACTAAAAAGAAATATGTAAAAGAAATTGAGAAATTCACAGATGTTTCTTTATAATATATACAAACTTGTTACTACGTGCCAATTTATACATTAGATGTTTTTGTTTGGGTAGGGTAACTAGAATTTATAATTCTGCCACGTGATTCATGTTTAGTTTAGGTTTTTTCAAAATGTGTAGCTAGAAATGTCGGAGCAATATAGCTCTAATTAAGAAGACCCATGGCGTTCTTTTTATCGATAGCTTTTTTGTTAAAAAAGAAAAAAGAAAAAAAATAATTAAAGTTAGACATGTATAAGAGTTAGACATCAGCAGTACTGCAGTAAATAAATTGGTTTGAGTGTACAAGTTTGTCAACTTTAAAATTTAGAACATATAAACTGCGATAGTACAGAAATTCTAAAATTTAATAAACGTAAAATTTTTAAAAATATATAATACACAAAATAATAAAATTAAAAATTTGTCAAATTAAAATAAACGTGCATATTAAATATATAGCATAAATCTTTGTCATAGTTAATTTTAATTTGAAGTGTGAGATAAAATTTTATAAGTTAAATAATTAATCATCTTACGATGAATGTTATAGGATGCACTACAAGAAAAATGACTTATGCCTACACACAAAAAATAAAAATCTCAACATATAAATATATTTTTTAAAACAATTTTACCATGGTGGAATCAAATTATCATATCCAACCCAATAATTTAAAATTTGAAAATTTTGAATTGACTTATCCAAACAAAATATTTTAAGAATGATAGAAATTGAAATTAAAACAATTCAAATAC